TAGAAATATAAGCGATATATTCCGTCTACCAAACTTTACTAGAGAAGTTGGTAGACCATCCGGTCCAGAATGAGACGAAGACCGTAATCGATCAATGTGAACTCGAATTGCACTGTGCGCAGTTTGCCAACAACAGTAGGAGCGCTACGCTTAATTGCGCTGCTTGAGGTAGTAAACGAAGTGGAAAAGTGTTCTTTCATGATGTCCCCTGTTATGGTGGAGTCCCTGATCATGGATATGTCGGGTAGTACGATGCAGTACACCGATTTAGCTTGACTGTCGTTTCTGACCTTCAGCAGCTTCATCAAGGCCTCAGATTTATTGTCATGCGCCAATGCTCGCTTTTCTGCTAGTAGCCTTGTGGCACGAATCGACTGCAACTGGTCAAAGACCTTATTCTCTCTGATAAGCCGCGAGCCTTACTTATTTTTGAGTGTAGTGTTTTCAGCTTACGCAGAAGTCATGCTTCGCGCGTAGTTTTCGTGGAAACCTTTCTCTCGGATCACAGTACGAATGGAGCAAGAGTATAAAGACAGTATTGGGTATTTGTGTGCTTCGCCTGATGCGCCCTGTGGATCTGTGAGGAAACAGATTCCAGTTCACCTTTTGCAGCAGTACAGGGCTCTGCTAGTAATGTTACAGTATCAGACTGAATCGGGTGCCGCGAAACTAAGATACGCGACTCTTTGATCACTATCTGGGAAACGAGATGACATTGATAGAAGTCTAACGTGAGATCGGACTTCTGAAGTGGAGTAAGGCCGCGGGAACGGATGATCTTCATCTAGCCCTCTTTAAAATCGGAGGACCTACTCTTGTTGATGATGTACACAAGTCCCTTGTGAAACGGAGCAGGAAACTGTCACAATAGACTGGAACCGCTCCGTTATTGTCCCGATCTTCAAGAGAGGCTCACGTTCGGAATGCGGCATCTATAGGGGGAATCAGTCTGATCTCCATCGTCTCCGAATTAACAATATATATATATATATATATATATATATATATATATATATATATATATACAGCAGTCTATAAATATACATTGAGCCATCGAAAAACCGTGAGGAACAAACGGAAAAAAGTACAAATGTCAGGATTAGATAACAAGTATGTTTTGCATTTTCTGTCTGTTTTCATACGCCATTTTGTCCTATTTTGGCATTTTGTATGGTATTGTCCTGATCACATTGTTCAAAACATTTCAGTGTACAGTCCTTCAATTGATTCCGGTTTCGCGCCATATCGCTAAGTGTGTCAAGCCATTTGCATTCCTCATCCTTGGGCCCCCAACCAGGAAGACGTACAGGGTCGATGATTGCGAGACAGGTGGTCAGCGATTTCATGGTTTGTCGCCATGTGGTTGGTTGACCTCCACGTCTTCTCTTCCAATTCAATTCAGTGCGAGCAAATAAGGCGCGGCGTGGTAAGCGCTCGCATGACATATGTAGAACGTCGCCAAGCCACTTAATTGACGCATTGCGATAAGGCAATTAAGCGGTGGGCTCATGTTTCCAAATAGGCAACACCGGACTTCATCGTTGCGAACCTGGTGCTGCCACCACACACTGGCTATCCGCCGCAAATGTGTTGTCGAAAGCCGAGATCCTACGCATGTCATTCACACGAAGTGGCCAGGACTCACTTCCGTACAGCAGGACCGCGCGGACACAAGCGTTGTAGACCCACCCCTTTAAGAAGAGGGATATGTCCTGACAACGCCACAATGACTCAGGTTGCTAAATGCCGACCGGGCTCTGGCGATGCGAAGATATCTCTTTTCCAATAGTGCCGTCGCAAAAATACAGCTTCCAAAGTAGACAAAGTTGTCCACAAGCTCTAGCTGTGTTCTTTCAAAGGTCAATGAGGGGGCAGACGACTTCCAGTCTTGGAGTAGCACTTTACACTTCGGCGGAAAAGCGCATACCATAGTTAGACGCTTCAATCGGCAGACGGTTCACAATGAGCTGTACACTGTGAATCGTCATCGAGCAGAGAGATATCACCAGTGTAATCTAATTCGGTTACGCGATTGCCAGAAATAATCTCAACACCAAAAATTTGGGAGCTGTGCGCCGTAATGGCGTTTCGCTGCTGCGCAACCAACAGCAGTCGCGCGCGGGCTGAGTATACCGCAACTGTCCTCATTCACTGACTGAAAGCCAAATTCGTGAAGAGTAAGCCGAGGTTGGGACTGCATCTAACACATCTTTACTTTGCGTCAGTTATTGGAGCGCCTTCACATATATTGGTGGCCCATCATTGTGTTTCTCTACAAAAAGTGCCTTCGATTCGGTTGATCGATGTGTCCTTTGAGACTGTCTTCTCAGGAAAAGTGTGTTTGAGAAATATGTGATTATTATTATTATTATTAGCTAGGGCAGATTGAGGGCTTACGGCATGCCATCGCGACCCTTCAATATCTCCAGCAGAGTAAAGCAGGGATGCGCGCTGTCACCTTTTCTCTTCAACTTCGCTGTTTACGAAGTCATGGAGATCGCGTTCATTGGACACGACTTAGAGGGTGTGGAACTGCTCCCATTTGGACAATTTTTTGACTTGGATAATGTTAACAACATGCCCTCATGTATGATAGCTCACAAAGGTGCCAAGCAGCACTAGAAAGATTAGCACTGACTTTCAGCCGTTTCGTGTTTTGCTTTGCGCCCATGGAGTGCAGTTTTTCTCCAAGATTGGCAGTGACCGCTTCCTACGCTGACTTTTGGTTGAGTTCAGTTAAAAGTCGTTCAAAGATTCAACTCCCTAGGCGGCGGTATCAGCACTGGAATTAAAAACGACGTAACAAATCGCAAAGCAAAATCTCGAGGTGCTTTTGCTAGCTTTCGCCACATATGGCGTCGGTGCGACATCACTCTCTCCCTGAAGGGTAGAGTGTACAATGCAGCCGTACGTTCGACCCTACTGTAAAGTTGTGAAACCTGGCCCATTAAATCGGCAGACATAAAGAGGCTAGTTAAGTTCGACCCCCGGTACCTTCGTAGTTTGGCTCATATCCGGTGGGAACAGCGTGTTTGACTTTTTGTTCCTGACACAAGAAGGGGTAGTGAACTGCTCAGTACCGTTATTTCACGTTGGGTCATGTGTTGCTCATGCCAGTACACCGACTCGAGCGACATGCGTTATTTGCGTGTCTTGAGTGCGGATAGAAGAAGGGTAGGGGTTGCCAAACAATGACTCGGTTGTAGTCTCTAGGCTCTTTGGTTGGGGTCCGAAACACGAAGAACACGTTTGGTTGGATACATTTGTTGTCATGGCTAGGTGTCGACCTCAGTGGCGTTTTTGTTGTAAGTTTCTTTATCCGTCCCTATTACGCTTATCTTTCCCCCCTCTAACCAAGACCTCATTTCCTGGGCACAATATAACTAATTTTTGCGACACAATAACCGCCGGCTGGCAGCTGTCCGGAACGATGCCTATCCGTTTCTTTTGGCTCAGCTGTCGTGCCTCCGTTACATTATTTATGTATTGCGGCACAATAGCTGAGGTGTTTTCCACTTTCCGATAACGTGTGTAATGATGATGATGATGAGCCATAATGGGGGTAATAGTGGTGGAAACGAGGTATTGATAACGCAGGCTGGTTTAAAAAGAGATGATCCACTGGCGGCGTTAGGTTCCAGCCGTTGTCAAGAAACTGCTGTGGTTAGGTTTCGGGTTGCGTATGTTGGTGTCCGATAAGGTGACTTGGGGGGCAGCAAGTGTTGCGGCGTGTTCCGTCAAGCATGCAGGTCTTACTATATTGTTTCTTAGTGGTGTAGGGGTTGTCACTAGATGGGATGAACCGTCTCGTGGTCTGATATTGGAAAGACAACGATTTGATTTCATGTGGATCTGATAAACGGGGGAGCAGTAGAGTAAGGTGCTCCGCAGACGACCGTTGGAATCTTATATCAGGGGCCAGATGCGTCTTTTAAATTAGGTTATCTCTAGGTGTTCGCAGAATTTCGTCTACTTTGCACAGTAGGTATATTTAAATCTAGCACTTCTTGGGCCAACACTCCTCCGGAAGGGTTTCTTTTCTTTTTTTAGTAACGGTTCGGTAAGTTTTATTTCTGTGGTCGGACTATTAGTTAGCTCATTATTTTATTTGGCGTAGAAGGTTCGGTGTTTGATTTGCTAGCACCATTGACCAAAGACAACCGTAATGACACTGGGCTTGTCACGGCTTTGTACACTCTATCTCCGGTCCTTTCTGTGGACAGTTGCGACTTTTCTAGCCAGAGAAGTCTCACCGTGATGTACAGCAGTTTCTTTAACGATTGGCTGTTATCTGTTCGAACACACATAGAGGGAGGAAACTTTCACATAGCTAGAACGAACTTATCATAGTGGAAAGCCTTTAGAAAGGTAATCGAAATTATGGTGCTAACATAAGTAGTAACAACTTTACACCGATGAACCTTAATTTGCTTCTCTTTATTTTCTCATAGTATATGGGGATCCCAGATAGGGGAGGAAACAGAATCCGACAGGTACAGTCATGTTAGAATGTATTTTCATTCCGCAACAGAAGCTAAAGCAGCACCACATGCAGCAAGCCGATTATAACGGTGTCTTACAATTTCGAGACCGATTAATCTGTTGCGTTCTGGATACCTGTCCAGAAGTATGTGAGCTATCCACCTACCAACACTATCAAAAACCAAGTCATAATATGAATCACGGCTATAAGTTTCGCCACAACTGAAAGCGTTGTCATTAATTTTTTTCTCACCCCGGACGCTTCTGTGAAAGTGATCATGTTATGCTTTTCTCATCCAACACTTAACTCTATATGTTGTGCATCTTGTTAGTTAGCTCGATAGCATTTGTGCTTCTTACTAAGGGGCAGATACTTATATTTTCCAACAGTTCTTTTGTGCGTTCGGGTTCCGACCTATCTCCTCGGCACACACACAGGAATATATATGTTATTCTATACTAGATTCATTTGTTTGTCCTGACATCTCCACCGTTTTGTTTTTTCCTGCTTTCTGCAGATTGATCTTGTCATTCTGGGAAAGCAAGCGATTGACGATGATGCGGCACAAACAGGTCAGCTGCTTGCTTCATTCCTGGGTTGGCCACAAGCCACGTTTGCATCCAAGGTTAGTGCACAGGAAAATTGTCTGTGTCGTCTGCTACCTCCAGTAATGCTTGAACCAAAACGCTGAATCCACATGCAATGTCGTTAGGGTAGTAAATGCTACCAAGTGCCCTAGTCTCCAGGTTTTCTGAACTATTTTTGCCCCATGTGGCAGTTCTTTTCCCACCGAATGGCCAATGGACCATAAAATCCTCCGCTCTGTTCGTTTTATTTTTGGTTGGTTGACAGAAGACCAGCCCAACCTCGTCGATCACGGGCCGCTACTTTATTAAGTATTCGGTTCAGCCCCTCTTCTCTGCTGTAACCTATCCGAAAAATATGTTTATCCTGATATTCTCGAATGGTGAATTGTCGACCCGAATGACCAGTAATACTCCTCACACTTGGATGCTTCGCTCTGATCAATGCTAGCGTGCAATAGGATACCATCAAATCCCTAGTAGGTACTCCAAGTCGACCGATAGCTTTGTATCGAAGTACACCATGTACAGCGGATGGCGATGTGACTAAGTTGAACGCAGGGCACGGTACCATTGTTTTTGGTGACCATATTTTAGGGTGGTAACACGCTATCGTCCGTCAGCAAATTCCAGGAGTGATTGGAGGGTTCCGGTGTTGCTCTCTTCCATCACTTCATTCCACGATGCCTTTCGTCCTTAGTTGGAATCATCAAGTAAAAGTAGCCCGATCTAGGAGTAGAATTCAACACAGTGGTTGGTAGCTATCGCCATGATCGATAGGCAATTGACACAGCGGTTAGAAGTTGATTGTCGAATTTTGGAGCACCCGTCTTGTGCATTGGATTGCGACACGCAATCTCATTTGTGGCTTCGGTTGACTTTGAAATCAACCTTTGCCATTCCGATCCCTGGGACCGCATCCGACCGAAGTGGAGGGTTTGGGTGTGGCTCTCTCCTAGGACTGCACTCCACCAAGCGCTTAGTTCTTGTTTGAACTCACCAGGTGATGGTGGTCCCATCTGAGTGTAGGACTCCGGACCTAGTGGTTGGTGGCTGCCTCCTTGATCCGAGGGGAATTGTCTGCACACTGATATCTTTTGGTTAAGAGGGCACTGGTCTTTCCATTCACACTAAATGCACACATGGGCCAGTGATAATCTGCCCCTTTTTTCTCTTATCATCATGCGATGTCTTACTCCTTCGCATTTGAGCTGGCGCTCTTTGTGTTTCGTCTAGTCCAGTTGTTGTTTCATCCCTTGCATCCTTTTTTACCAGCCTACGAGCTTTTGTTCAGAAAATCTTTAAAAATCTACACCTTGTACGCATTACCTCTGCTAACTTTTTGCGCACTTATCGCCTGGTACGTTGTCCAACAGAATTGTCGCTTTTCGCACGTTAGAACTGTGTCCTGGGTTTAGTGAGTCACACTACGCATAACCAGTAGTGTCCTTTTCTCCTTTTATTTGTCGTTTTGACTTTGTAGCTACTGGGCGCCCATGTCTAAAGACGGTCTGTGGGCGGCACCCTCACCACGCACAGCTCTATCCACTCATCCCATACCCAATGTAAACCCGGAGTTCAACCGAGAGGTCTGCGAATTTGAGCCATAATAAATTCTGCTTCGGTTGTCACTCGTTCAACACACTGTATCACTGATGTCAGTTTGGAGGAGAACGCGTACTAGACAGCGTACACCGAATGGATGCTGGTTTATTATATCCTGTCCGATTATGGAACAACACTTGTTATTTAGCAGTTCCATTCAGTTCACTTGGACAACTATGATCCGGGCACCGAAGCGCGGTAGATACAGTTGCCACGACTCACACCGTAAGAATAACAATAAATAACAACGAAAGGAAAACGAGACCAAATGCAAATAGAGCGTTGAGAATATGTTATCAACTATGTGTGTCAAATTAATCAGGATTGAGAGAAAGTTAACAGTTAGATGTGAAAATGGAATGTGGGAACGCCACTGACTGCGCGATGTCTGGAAGTGTCTCCAACCATTTATGTGTACCTTGTTGAGGTCCCCATTCACGAAGACAGCATGTGTCAGCCTGACCAAGTCTCCCAGCCAATTTCTTCTAGTTTTTGCAACGTCATAGATTGGCCACCTCACGCTTTCGTTCAAATTAGTGCAGCGACGGCCTGTTATGCACGCCGATGAAGTCAGCCGACGGTCGTGCGAATGGATATGACCTAGGGAAGATAAGCGGTTAAAGTACACCGGACACTCCAGAGAGGCACCAAGTCAAGTGTACCCAAATGAGTGCATTTTTAGCATGTTACATGAATCCTTCGTCAAACAATTTTTAGATGCTCTGGCCACCGCAGAGGATAATCAACGGTGCCCTATCTGCTGCATCGAACAGGGTGGATAGGGGTTTGGATACTATTGCTCAAGCATTCCCGTCTACTTATTCCCCCTCTTACGCTTTTTCACTCTTACCGTCCCGTTCCAACTTCACTTTTATCCCCCTGTTTTCAACCCCCTGATTATTGACCCTCCCCCAACATGCTTTGCTAGGCATTTGTCTTCTAATTTCAACTCACAGCTAACGCGGAGCGTCACTCCTCTCCTGTCGACAAGCCCATGTCCAACCAAGCGGTCCATCCCAGTTCACCGGCTTCCGTTTGGAGCCCTCGATCCTCCTTCAGATTGGCATGCCTCAATGTACGCACATTACTACAGATCGGTCAACAGGCAGCACGAACATTGGAGACCCTATCGATCGATATCTGCTGCCTATAAGAGACCCGCCTGCAAGACTCGAGCTCTGTGCTCACTCTGCGATCCCCTTCAGGGAACGCAAGCAGTATTTTCTCCTTGCGCCTATCCGGTGACGATGCAGCTCCGAGCACCGGCCAAGCTGGTCTTGGCATTGCCCTGAGTCCCCGGGCTGAAGCTGCTCTGGTTGATTGGATTCCAATCAGTAGCCGGATGTGTGCGATCCCATTGGCTGGCTCCTTCAAAACTTCGAAGTCGCGCGGCACTAATAGGTGTCTAATCATCGCTGCCTCCGCGCCCACAAACTGTAGCGATGATTCGGTAAAGGACGACTTCTACCGCCAACTGACCCAGCTCCTTCGCCACAGAAGAAGCACGGACACTGTTGTGCTGGCGGGGGATCTGAACGCACAAGTTGGAAAGTTGTCCACTGATGAAATGCATCTGGGCGGTCAGCACAGTGTAAGCTCCCGTAATGATAACGGTGAGCGGTTACTTCATTTGTGTGAAGATACCCGCTTATTTCTTGCGAGCACCAACTTCCGACACAGTACCCGCTTGAGGGTGACTTTGTACCCACCATCCTCGAACCAGCCTTGGACGCAGATCGATCACATTGCTATCAGTAACCGATGGAGAAGCTGCATCCAGAACTGTCGCTCGATTTGGACACCGATCATGCACTTTTCTGTGCTGACCTGCGGATGCGTTTTGGCGGACGCCCACGACGACGCTGTGAGCGCATTGACACCAGCCAACTGGCAAAGTCAGCTGTTGTGAATGCGTATCAAAGTACGCTGACATGCGAGTTGAGTAATCGCTCACTGGAGACAATTGATGGTCACTGGTCACATGTTCGCCAGACCTTACTAGCAGCAGGCAAATCCTCATGTGGTATGTCTAATAGCCAACATGGATATTGGGTTTCTTCGTGGTCGCTGGAACTTATCGATGCTCGCCGGCATCTTCCGGCTGGAAGCGAACACAATGAAACTCGCAAAGAGCTCCGGGCAAGACTTCGTGTTAGCCTGAAGAGAGACCGCGAATCTTGGTGGTCTCATCGTGCGTCAGAGATGGAAGTGGCCGCTGCCCTTGGCAACCATCGCAAGTTATTCTGTCTGATACGAGAAACAGGCAGCAGGAGACCTGGTGTTAGTGAAACAATTTGTGATGAGAATGGACAGCCTATCCATAATTTGTCAAAACGTTTAGAGCGTCAGGCTGAGCATTTTGCAAAACAATTTAATCGGCTAGAATTGTTCGATTCTTTGCTGACCAGTGATCGCCCTGCTCCGTGGGCTGTCCCGTTGGATCCACCCTCTCGTTCAGAAGTCGAACGTGAGATCGGACTGTTGAAGTTGAACAAAGCCACGACACAAGATGATCTTCCTCCACCCCTTTAAATTCGGAGGTTCTGCTCTTGTTGATGCTTTACATGAATTACTAGTGAAACTGTGGGAGCGGAAGGTTGTCCCAACCGAGTGGAGCCGCTCCGTTATTGTTCCCATCTTCAAAGGAGGCTCGCGTTTGGAAGGCTGCAAAAATAGAGGAATCAGTCTGATCTCCATCGCCTCCAAATTACTCGCCTCCATACTTCTTCACAGACTGACTAGCACTCGTGGAAGCCAGATTCGTGAGGAGCAAGCCGGGTTTCGTCGGGGTCGTGGCTGCATCGACCACATCTTCACCTTACGTCAGTTGTTGGAGCACCGTCACACATATTGGCGGCCCACCGTGGTCGTGTTCCTGGACATCAAAGGTGCCTTCGATTCGGTTGATCGATGTGCCCTTTGGAATTGTCTACTCAGGAAAGATGTGCCCGAGAAATATGTAAATATTATCCGGGCATTATACACGCGTAGCACGGGCAGAGTGAGGGCTTACGGCAAGCTGTCGCCACCCTTCAATATCTCCAGCGGTGTGAGACAAGGATGCCCGCTGTCACCTTCCCTCTTCAACTTCGCTATTGACGAAGTCATGGAGATTGCATTTACAGCACATGACTTGGAAGGTGTGGAACTACTCCCAGGAGAACGACTTCTTGACTTAGAGTATGCAGACGACATTGCTCTCATCTGTGACAGCTCCCAGACGTGCCAAGCCGCGCTGGACAGATTAGCACTGGCTGTCAACCGCCTCGGGCTTTGCTTTGCACCCTGGAAGTGCAAAGCGTTCCTCCAAGGTTGGCAGGGATGGCCTACTGCGCTGACCCTTGGTGAGGATCAGCTAGAAGTCGTTCGGAAATTTAACTACCTGGGAAGTTGTATCAGCGCCGGTGGAATCCAGGACGAGATCACGAACCGTATA